CTGCCGTGGTCTCACCCTTCTACACCTTCTGCCACAAGTCGCCACATGCCTGAAGGAGCCGCAGGTATGCCTCCTGTACAGGCTCAGGAAATCGTGCAGATGTGATGACGTACGAGCCGATGGGACCGGCGAGCAGAAAGTAAGTATGCGTCTTGGCGGCCTTCCCTGCACCGGTAAGGCGCTGGAGTCTAGACGTGAGAGCCGCTGGTGTCACCCGTACGACTTCCTGCAATGCGGCCCTGATCCTGGCCAGCTGGGCACCATCTGCATACATTACAGATTAGTGTGTCTCCTGTAAGAATTCCGTAGTAGAGCCTATGATGGGGGGGTCCATGTGTAAATTAGTCCACTAGTAGTTATTGCATTAACCCTTAAGTTATTCATCATGCATAATGGGCAAGTCATATGAGTTCCTTACCAGCACGGCCAGGGTTTGGGCCCTTGTTCTGATTGTAGTCAGCCACTGCTTGCCTCAGACGGGTGCTTGCCTTGGCAATGCGGAGGCCCTGCACACCCTTGACCATGACCTCCTTGATGACCCCGCCGAGAGTATGCATGCCATCCATGTTGATCATCGAGCAGGGGTTGAAATACCGCAGGATGTAAATGGGGCAGGCAAGGCCCACGAGCTCTGGACGCCCAGGGACAAGGAGCTTTGCAGCTCCTGGCTGGCCCACTGCATTACCCCTGACGGCATTCACTGGGCTCCTCCCCCGCCTTCCCCGCCATGCAACGCCTGCACCACGGGTGTTTGCAGTAACAGCCCCACGGGACCCCCGGCCCCCATCTCGCCCAGTGCGGCCCCTGCCACGGCTGCGTCGTCCACCAGGTAGCTCTTCCTCAAGCTCGCGTGCATGCTGGCGGCCACGCCCACTGGCTGGCTCTTCATCCGCTTCCACCTCCTCCTCACTGACATCCCCTGCAATGACTCCTGGCTGGCCCACTGCATTACCCCTGACGGCATTCACTGGGCTCCTCCCCCGCCTTCCCCGCCGTGCAATGCCTGCACCACGGGTGTTTGCAGTAACGGCCCCACGGGACCCCCGGCCCCCGTCTCGCCCAGTGCGGCCCCTGCCACGGCTGCGTCGTCCACCAGGTAGCTCTTCCTCAAGCTCGCGTGCATGCTGGCGGCCACGCCCACTGGCTGGCTCTTCATCCGCTTCCACCTCCTCCTCACTGACATCCCCTGCAAAATCATCAGTGCCATGGCTGGGCCCCCCGCCATCACCATGGTGCACCCCAGCATTCGCAGCAAGTGCAGCCTTGACAGCTGGTGGCTCCTGAACACCTGCCGTG